CTCCTCCTGCTCTTCCACAAAACCCACCCCCTTCTAGCACTGATGATGTCACCTAGTTGGGTAATGAAACATCTGCAAGAAAACCACCAAACTCAGAGAACACAAAGGACCCCACAGTTCAATCCTCAGTGAGCTCGACAAATAGTCTGCTTTAAAGAAGAGCAGCTGGAAAGTTGGTGGGGACGGTGGCCAGCCATTTCTTGCAAGTCTTTCTGCCTTTGGTCAAAGCCTCTTCTTTCCTGGCAGGCTCCTTCTAATTCGACCGAACTGCAGGACTACAGCGCTGGCGTCCAGATGGGTTGCTGGGGCTTGGTCATCTATGCTGCTACTGCTGCTGTGTGTTCAGGTGAGAGGCTGTGTGCTACTGTCCTGGGTTAAAGCTGGGTGAATAATAGTTGCATAATTGGGAAGAGGAAGCAGAATCTGGTTTCATTGTGAGCAGTACCAGAGTGAGGTATGTGCGATGGGAAGCTATATAATTTGAATGAATGGAATGAATGAATGAATGAATGAATGAAGATGAATGAAATGAATAAATGAATGAATGAAATGAATAAATGAATGAATATGTTTTACTGAAATCAAGATGTTTAGTTAGTTAGTTAGTTTCTCAAGCATGTATGAGAAACCAAGTATAAGTATGAACATAACATGTAAGCATATAATTATAAGCAGGTATAAGTATATACATAATAAATGAGTATGAATAAGTGGGAACAGTAGGACAGGGACGGTAGGTACGCTGGTGCGCTTATGCACGCCCCCTCACAGACCTCCTAGGAATGGAGTGAGGTCCACGGTAGACAGTTTGAGGTTAAAGTTTTTGGGGTTTGAGGATGTAACATCAGAGTCAGGGAGTGAGTTCCAGGCGTTGAGCACTCTGTTGCTGAAGTCGTATTTTCTGCAATCGAGTTTGGAGCGGTTTACTTTGAGTTTGTATCTGTTGTTTGCCCGTGTGTTATTGCGGTTGAAGCTGAAGTTGTTGTTGACAAGTAGGATGTTATAGCAGACAATTTTGTGTACTAAGCTTAGATCAGACCGTAGGCAGTGTAGTTCTAAGTTGTCTAAACCTAAAATTTCAAGCCTGATAGTATAAGGTATTCTATTGCGAGCTGTGAAGTACCTTTCTCATGCAATACCTCTGGACTCGTTCAATCGTATTAATGTCCATTATACAGTGTGGAGTCCAGGCAGATGAGCTGTATTTGAGAATTACATATCATTATATAACAACATATTACATCACAACCTATCATGATGTTATCCATTCAGTCATATCCAACTCTTGCCAATTCCATGGGCCAAGGTCTCTGCACATCTTTCCCCCACTACTCCTTTGAGTTGTTCTCTGCTCTGGCTGGTGTCAGCTTTGATGGTGAACTAGAACATGTTGAAGGATAACATCTCCATGTTGGAATGGGAAAGACAGTGAATCTCCCAGAGAAGACCTCAGTTAGTTTGGGACATTCAGCATGGAAAATATGTCGTCTCCCTCAGAGTTAAAGCTCCTTCCTTAACCATTTGCTTCCATATTGCTGCCCTCAAGTTATTTTGGTTGAGAGTTGCAATAGCTGTATATCTGGGCACAAGACTGGAGGAAGATGCTTGGCCCAAGGTATATCCTATATAGACCACATACGGGTCCTATAAACCAGAGGTCTCCAAACTTGGCAACCTTAAGACTTGTGGACTTCCGCTCCCAAAGTTCCTCAGCCAGCCAGGAATTCTGAGCGTGGAAACTCCACAAGTTTTGAAGCTGCCATGTTCGGAGACTCCTGCTGTAAGCTTTGGCCTGAGGATTGCCCTCTCAAATGTCTCAAAGGAATAAAAGACACAATGAGCCAATCATGTAATTCTTAAGTTAGTCAAGAGACTGTGAGATTCATCAACTCGGTTATTGCCTGATACTTGGTGTGGCATGTCATGCTTTTGGGTGGAGATGCTTTCTCCAACAGTTCTGAGCTTAACACAACTCTTAAACCTGGAAGGATTATTTCTCCTCGCTTTAAACCAGAGGAATTTGGGGAGTTGAGGTCCACAGGTCTTAAGTTGCCCAAGTGGGACGTCCTTTCTCTAAGCCAATGAGCGACTTTTTAAGATCCATGGGCTTCAACTCTCAGACTTCCCCAGCCGGCCAAGGTTGCTTGGAGAATTTATGCACATCTATCCTATCTTCTCAGTAGGCATGGGTGGAAGAGGTTGAATGGGTGGGTTGTTGCCCTCATCCGTAGAAGTTCAGAATGTTGTGTAACTGTGACTTGTGCCCATCGTTTCCCAGCTTTACTCCAGAAATACTTGGACAATTATGACTTGAGCATACGAGTGATCTACATCTTGGGCACCCTGGGGTTCTCCATCGGCACAGCGGTGATGGCCATTTTTCCCAACGTCTACGTCGCCATGATCATGATCAGCACCATGGGAATTGTTTCGATGAGCATCTCCTATTGCCCCTATGCACTCCTGGGACAGTACCATGACATCAAGCAGGTAAGGTGGCCTTCGGGCTGGAATTCTGGGTGTTGAAGTTCACCAAGTCTTAAGGTTGCACCACCTTTGGGATTGGAGAACCTCAGTTAGATCAGGGATGAGAGTGTCTTGATTTGACTGAGGGGCTTCCCAGTCAAAGTAATGGAGCATCTCTTACCATCAAAGGTTGGAGGGTGAACTGTGGACACTTCTTCATAGAGTTATGGGTCCCTCAACTATCCAACCATACAGATGCATGCAGATCATTAGGGAAGGAGAACTTCTCCCTTACCTTGGTATGAGATGGTGACCAAGACCTTCTACAGAACTTCTCCTGTATCTGTCCTCTCTGGACTCACCCAACCAGCACAATCTGACATTGAATCCACCCATGTGTGGATTCCTATAATGTGCCACTAAATGTGCCACCCAACCTTATCAACCTTAAGACCTGTGGACTTCAACTCCCAGAATTCCCTAGCCAGCACGGACTGGGGACACCCCTGTGCTAAACGGTGTTGTTATTGTTGTTAGTTATGAAGTCGTGTCTGACCCATCGTGACCCCATGGACAACGTTCCTCCAGGCCTTCCTGTCCTCTACCATCCGCTGGAGTCCATTTAAGCTCACGCCGACTGCTTCAGTGACTCCATCCAGCCCCCTCATTCTCTGCTGTCCCCATCTTCTTTTGCCCTCAATCGTTCTCTTCTCCAGCAAGTCGTTCCTTCTCATGAGGTGGCCAAAGTCTTTAAGTTTCATCTTCAGGATCTGGCCTTCTAAAGAACAGCCAGGGTTGATCTCCTCTAGGACTGACCAGTTGGATCGCCTTGCAGTCCAAGGGACTCACAGGAGTCTTCTCCAGCACCAGAGTTCGAAGGCCGCCATTCTTTGGCACTCAGCCTTCCTTACAGTCCAACGTTCACAGCCATACATTGCCACTGGGAAAACCATAGCCTCTAAACAGCACAATCACCAAATGGCCTGGGTCTCCTAGAGCAGTGATGGCTAACCTTTCCGTCTTCACATGCCAAAAGTGCGCACATACACACATGCGGACGCATGCCAGTACCCATAAGGCAATGCATGCGGGGGCACCCACACCCCTGCACATGCATGCACGACCACCGCACCGCACGCATCTCTGGGCATGCTCATGCAACAACCCCCCCCCCACATGCAGGACGTGCATCTCTGTGCATGCGCGCGCATCTCCTGTATGCCCCTCACACATGCGCGGCAGCTATCCAACGATCAGGTGGGCGGCGGGCACCTGCGCAGTGGACCTGCGCTGGGGCGACGGTTCGCGTGCTGGCGGAGATGGCTCTGCGTGCCACTTCCAGCAGGCGTGCCATAGGTTCGCCCTCATGGTACTAGAACACTCACCTACCCCAAAGTTCACCATTTTAAGACAAACCAAGCCTTAGAACAATTGCTAGGTTTATGTCTATGGAGATTCTCCAGTCACCCAGGTGATGGTTGTCCCAAAGGTGCTTTGTCAAAAGGCAACTAGATTTTGTTTTTTCACGAAGAGGTTTCGCTTCTCATCCAAGAAGCTTCATCAGTTCTTGGATGAAGCTTCTAGAACTGAGGAAGCTTCTTGGATGAGAAGCGAAACCTCTTCGAGGAATAACAAAGTCCAGTTGCCTTTTGAACAAGCACCTTTGGGAGCGATTGCTAGGTTTATAACACTTGGATCTGCAAAACATTGCTCAGATAAAGGTAGTCCTCGACTTACGAGCACAATGGAGCCCCAAATATATGTTTGTTAAGGGAGGCATTTATTAAGGGAGATTTGCCCCATGTTATGACCTTCCTTGCCACAGCTGTTAAGTGAATCACTGCAGTTGTTAAGTTACTGACAGGGTTATTGAGTGAATTCCCCTTTGACTTGCTTGTCAGAAGGTCACAAAAGGGGATCATGTGACTCCGGGAAACGGCGCCCGTCATAACTAATGAGTCGGTTGCCAAACGCCTGAAAATTGATTGCGTGACCTTGGGCATGCTGCAACAATTGTAAGGGTGAGAAATGGTCATAAGTGCCGTTTGTTCAGTGCCGTTATAATTTTGAACAGTCACTAGGCGAACTATGGCAAGTTGAGGAATACCTGTATTTTTAAAAAATGCTGGCGGTTCTTCAGAAGAAGCAATGGAGAAGTCAGGAACTACCTGTGCACCAACAGCAATAGCCCTTAGACTTATATACCGCTTCCCAGTGCTTTTACAGCCTCTCTTTAAGCAGTGTACAAGGTCAGCCTCTTGCCCCCAACAATCTGGGTCCTCATTTGACTGACCTTGGAAGGATGGAAGGCTGAGTCAACCTTGAGTCGGTCAGAATCGAACTCCTGGTAGTCATCAGAGTCAGCCTGCAGTACTGTGTTCTAACCACTATAACACCATGGCCTTTCCTCCCTCCCTCCCTCTCTCTCCCCCCCCCCCCATTTTTTCAGGTGTTATCTTCCTTCCTTCCCTCCTTCTCCCTCTCCCCTCCCTTCTTTCCTTCGTGCCTCCCATTCTTTCAGGTGTTATCTTCCTTCCTGCCTTTCTTCCTTCCTCTCCCCTTCCTTCCTCCCATTCTTTCAGATGTTATCTTCCTTTGTTCCTCCCATTCTTTCAGATGTTATTTCCCTTCCTTCCTTCCTTCCTTCCTTCCTTCCTTCCTTCCTTCCTTCCTTCCTTCCTTCCTTCCTTCCTTCCTTCCTCTCCCCTTCCTTCCTCCCATTCTTTCAGGTGTTATTTTCCTTCCTTCCTTCCT